AGACTTGTTGAGGAGCTCGATGGCGCAAGTGGTTAGCGCGTTCGGGTGCGATCTTTAAAGTTAAGCAACTTTCGCAGTGGATGGGTGACTAACACAATTACCTATCTCGAGCTCCTCCGTGCTTCGGAAGGTACGTTAAGCCGTTCGTCCCGCCTGCATGTGCAGTCGTTAGCACCAATCCGCACTGGGCCCGCGTGTTAGGTCCAGTTCCCTATTCCATCCATGGGGAAGGCCTGTGCCTAGGGTTACCAACTTTTTTTCTTTCAAATACAGTATTTTCGAAGCTGTTACCTATAAAAATGTAGTACATAGATGACAAAAAAAAATAAAAAATATAGTATATGGTTAAAATATTTACTTTATTTTTGAAATGAATGTATTTTTGCTGCTCTATGCCTTCACAATTAATTTCTTATTTTTTACGAATGCCATTACTAACAATATCTGCTTTAAGCAAAATATAGTAGTATCGCCTTCTTTATATTGTTTTTCAGAAATATAGTATTTGCTCTGCTAATATAGTAGGATACTATATTATAAAGGAGGGTTGGCAACCCTACCTGTGCTTCAGCATGGGGACATTAATAGGCTGATGATGATGATGATGACAAGACTTGTTTATTTGATAAATAGAGCACTTGTTTTTCATGTGTCCATAGTGGCCTATGGACCGTTTACCATCAGCTGGACCGCTTATTTGCCTACGACATAGTATAAAATGGTATCTAGCTCTAGCTATCAATAATTTAACCTAGAGAAAAATCGCAACAGTTTAGTCCAAATGTATACCTTTCTATGTAATTCAATTCGATTAAATACATACATACATGGCATAATAATCACAATGTTAAAATATTAATCTTATTAAAATCTTTTAAGTCGTCGGTGGATTTTTCTCCAGGTCGTTTAAACCCAAAACCCTATCTTCAAGCGTAATCTATAGAATAAAATAAATTACCTACTCAGCAACAGCTGTGCCTCATTTCATTTTAAAAAGGGTTTCGAGAGTTTTATGTTCTATAAAGTGCGAAAACCGTTTTTACCAGCAAATAATTTTACTCCAAAATAAATAAATTCCCAGCTAGTCAGGGAACCCATCTCGAAATAATTAATTGAACATGGCAGGTTAACCTTAAATCAGAACTGGGTTGCTTCTGGAGTTAGTTTTGTTAAATTTCCCCATTTATCTGTTGCCTGTGAATTTAATAAGAAATGTCCTATCTAGATAATCATTTCAGTTGAGAAAAAATAGCATAGCTAATTATATTGCTACATAAATGTAACTCCATTCAATTTATTATTTTATTCCAAATACTGAACTTATCCAAGAATACTGTTAAAGAGACTTTGACTCAATGTACTTAAAATAAATGTTGATGTTGTATTTCCTGTTCTTTGTATAAAGTCGTTTGTTATGTTGTAACAAACTTATGACCAGCTTGATTAATACATAGTTGACCATCACTAAAGCCTTTAGGCAGACTAACCCTATCCCTTTTATGTACTATGGGCAACGAATATCGTTGACTGTGAGACTTTCGCTACCTTTCGCCCATCTATAATATTCTATGATAGAGATGATAGTTGATGTGATGACGCAGCATCAGGTACGCAACTCCTCAGCTACTTACAGCAGATGTAACATGTCTGGGCTCATAAGATTTATTGGTCTCATTGAATAAATGACGATCGAAACAATATTTATAGTATGTCTAATATAATTTCAAAAATATTGACATAAAAATTAAATAGAAATTAAAAAAAAAACTCCGATAAAAAAACGACGGGTTGCACTCCGGGAGTGCCGGCAGAAGTGAAAACTTGAATATTACCGTTGTACATTTTTGATATTTTGGAATGGTTAGTGAATAATTTTGCACGGATTGCTTTAATTATCAGTATAAAAGTACTATCTATATGAGTGTGGCAGAATACAAGATTTATTTATTGCGCTATCGTACATAAACATGACAATTTATATTACATTAAAAAAGTTTATCTCTCAGATAAATCAACTTACATGAATCACGTTTAAGCGCACTTCGCGACATCTATTGTAAAGAAATCAACTTTCATGAGTCATATTTAAGCGCACCTAACGACATCTATTGTAAAAAAAATGTATTTTCTTCGCAATAAAGCTGCCACGTGGACGTCCTAGATAGAGACTTATTATTATAATACGATAAAATAAAATATTACTTTGTTTCGTCCAATATATTGAAAGTCAACAACCTTTCCAATGTTGATCAACAACCAGTTGATGATGCGATCAGCCCACGTGTTTAACCTGACGCGAGTTTAACATTTTTTACCCATACAAAAAAAGTGTACAAGGAAGTTTTCACTTCAATAATCTAAAAAGTGTATAAATAAAATGTGTTGGCCCTTTAACTTTACTGCTATAAGTACTAAGTAATAGTTAGACATTGTCAAGTCGGCTGACTGTGATAAGAGAGAGCACCAAACAAAAACATTTTCCGAATTACTTAAATATCTATTACTTTAGTGGTGCTCTGACTTGACGATGTCTGGGTCTAACTATGTCTACGTCTATTTTAAGAGTTAAACAAAACACTACCGAAATATCGATGTACCCAATAGAACATGTTTCATAACATAAAAGCGGAACTACAGTATCGTACCTAATTTATACCAATTCGCACAATCTAGGGATACAAATGAAAACTGTCAGAACCTTATACTGCACACCAATAAGATCGATATTGGTAGTGAAATGTGTTCATTGTGTTGACCTTGTTTGTACCAATACCTATTCAAGTCCAATAAGTTCATATTACATCGAACACTTCAACAATGTTGATTTTATGTAGGTTTCCATAAAAGACTAGAGTTTTTTTCTGTTTCATTGTAAACGAGTAAAATATAACAAAGCGAATTTCTGACTATTGTTTTAAGAACCGAAGGGAAGACGATAAATATTTACGTTTTAATTTCATAGTAAATTGACTTGGTCGCCAATTCCTTAAATATAAAACCTACCTATTGTAATATTTGTAATCACTCAATAAAAGTATCCCTTTTAGCATTAAAAAATGACGCACTGCGTAATCTAGATTTTTTTTTCAATAAATTTATGTCTGGATCATGTCAAGATACTATTGATATCTTGATATCTGATCTTCTACAGTTACACAGATAAGACAAAACAAATATTTCATGTTTGATTGCAAAACATTTAAATTTAGCACATAAAAGTTAAAGCAAAATTTTATAATGATAACCCAATGGCCCTTTTTGTGTAACCTGAAAAATGATTTGAAATCTTAAAAACCGGCCGTGTGCGAGTTGGACTAGGGCACGAAGGGTTCCCTTCCGTATAGGGTTACCATCCGGATTAGTCTTTCAGTCTAGTCTGGATCTTTAAATTGTCCGGATTTTTTAAATAACCATACCATTACCATTATACCAAACCATTGTAGCTAAGTAAGTAATGGTACCATTTTGTGACTAAAAGTCCGGACTTTTTTCGAAATGTCAGATTTTTTGTCAGGACTTTTGAAATTCCTAAATGGTTACCCTACTTCCGTACCGTTATCTATAATCAAAATTAGATACTATTATAATATCGCGCTAAACCAGCAAAAAACGGAAAAATAATTATACGTAACATATAGTATACAAATATTGAAGCCAACTTTTTTTTTAAGCAAATGGCATGCATTGCCTTATGGCGCTGCGTGCGAGTGATGAAAATTAAAACTACATCTTTCGTTTCTTTTTCTTTTCAGATTAAAGTGAGGAGGTTCGGTCGAAGTAAAAAAGTAACCGTAAAGAATACGCACGGTGGCAAGTGTGGGAGCGTGTGGTAAAAAAAATACCGCAAAGGAGCTCGATGGCGCGGGTGGTTAGCGCGTTCGGCTACGATCGTTGAAGTTAAACAACTTTCTCAGTGGTCGGTCATTGGATGGGTGACCAAAAATCTACTATCTCGAGTTCTTACGTGGTCAGGAAGGCACGTTAAGCCGTTGATCCCGGCTGCATCTGCAGTCGTTAGCACCCGCCAACCCGCACTGTGCCCTAGGGAACGCCTGTGCTCCACCAGTGGGGAAACTAATAGGCTGATGATGATGATGATACAAACTTTGAATCCCCGTTTTACCCCCTTAACGTTTTGGAAAATTATTTCTTAGCGCACTTTACTTATAATAGCTATATAATTTCAACGCAATCGGTGCAGTGGTTTAAGCTGTACGTTGATAGATCAGTCAGCAACGGTTGCCTTTTATATAAATGTAGGATCTAAAAGCAAATCCGCCCATATATATTCTTTGGACAGTGGCGGATTTACTTTTACATCCCACATATACAGACTGATATTTCGTGGAAATATTCAGTTTTAGTAAGTTATTTTTATAAAAATCTTTAAAAGCATTTGTATATAATAATAATAAATTCGTAAACCTAAATTTTATGAAGTGAAAAATACCTATGTGAATGTTAAATTAAATAAATACGGAAAATTGCTCTTATTCCTCTTTTTGGAGCTTTTTCTTTCAAAAAAGCTCGACATCTACTTAATTTGTATCTGGGTAAGTATATCAATTCTTCACTAAAAACACTAGTGGATCTTTCTTCTCCAAATTAATTTCCATTCCTTTTCCAGCCCGTTTAGTAGTACAACAGTAATGAGGTCCTTTCCGGTTCTTTTTTAAAAATAGAACCAGACAGTTTCCGAGCATGTATAGTATAGTATAATATAGCCTAATATAGCACTAAATTGGCGGAGAAATCGCGTAACAAACAACCAAAAAAATATACAGTCGAATTGAAAACCTTTTCCTTTTTGAAGTTGGTTTAAAATAGTAAAAAAAACATAACCTATTAACATTATTTCTTCCAACTTTAGAATAGAATTTCTTTATATTTAAGCGATATCTTCACTGATTTTTTATCATGAATTTTCATCAATTTTAGGTGCCTTTCATCCTTTCCCAATTCACAAAGAATTTCTTATTGTCTTGTTCATTAAAAAATACCTTCGTCCGGGTACACGAGTACTGGTGTGATCGAGCCATTCTGTAGTTTTTCCGTGTTTTGTGACGCACGCACCGAGCCTTGCAGCAGCGCGGCGATTTGTCGCATCGCATCGCACATGCGCGGGCGTCGCGGCGCCGGCGCCGGCCTGACCTCGTCGCACTCCCACCGTCCGACCAACCTCACCGAGCCAAAACTATCGCGATTATACTCCTTACCACGTCACACTTAAACTGTTAACACCTTAATAGCAAATTGACGATTTTGTAAATTTTATTCAAAAAATATTTTTGGCACAACCTTAATCACGATCACAGATCATTCAAATCTATATGTTATACTTAAAATTAAAAATAAAATTTAACAATCACATAAAATAAAAATATAAAAAATAATTTTGCGAATTAATGAAGCGCGTAAATTTTCCGTTGGCTGTGTGAGCGGGGAGCGACGGCACAAGGCGGACTGTCTATTCCGGGCGCGAGCGAGCACGTGGGCGCCGCCCGCCCTGCCACCGCGCGCCCGCCCGCCCGCCGATCAATGGCCACGAGATCTGATACTTGCCCGGCTACATCCTTAACAAAACTTCGCGTAAACAAAACATACGTGACACATTAATTTACGTCTGCCAACAATGCGGCTTATAAACTGATGTATATATTATTAATTAACTAGATTATAACCGTTACTTGTTGCCACGTGGCTGGTTCGATATCAGCCCAAATCCATCGATATGTACATTCAATATTTAATAAAACTTAAGAATGTGACAAGTAAAATGGTAAATATAGATATGGGAAACTCAAATCGAGTTGGTACCGAAATAGTTATCACAGTTCAAATATTTATTACTCATAAACTGTAGTGGAGATACGTCACAATTTCGATGACGTAAGTCGTAAGGAGTTGAGGAGGCGTGTTTCTATACATTTCAATAAAGCAGTTTAGTTTACGCGTTTTAAATGATACCCTGAAAAGGGTTCATAATAACACACACTCCTTGACATACATAATGATAATGGCTATTTTGGAATGATTTGAAGCAGCTGAAAAACTTTTTATTAACCCAAATTTTTATGATCATTTGTAAGCTACTACAACACATTACTTATCAAGATTAAATTAAACAGAAAATTAAAATGAGTTTTTTTATGTGCTTATTTATCAGGACTATGGACCAATAATATTTGGACCTACAAGTTTGGAGATTTTCCCACAAGTATTCAGTGTATTCAAATTTGTTACTTTACCCGTGGTATTGAACTTCGATATCCACTCGTGACCCATTAGGCGAGGGTGGTTGCCCCCAAAGCCTACTCGAGGACAACAGGTTAGCGGGTGGGCGTCGTCAATTCGACATAGGGAACTCTATATGACGTGAGGATACCCAACGTTTACCTATATACTCGGTAGCCGTGGCGGGATGACGCAATCTCACTGCGAGTTACTGCAGGTTTTGGTATAACATTTTACGGTTAATCGTTACTCATTCATCACGAAATTTGTGGAAGAGATACCTTTATACTATGTAACTGATTATCAATTTGTGCAACGTGGTTGTAACTTTTTAGTCGAAAAAAAAATGTGACTTTGTAAGCTTATAACATAACGTATAGCTGTTTACTATATAAAGAAATTATTATATTATTACCAGCTGTTCCAGCGAACTTCGTACCGCTATAACAAAATTTTGGGGTTGGTGGTAGAAGGGTGAAAATTTAGGGTTGTATGTATTGTTGTATGATGTACCAAATAAAAAAATAAAAAAGAAAAAATATTGCCTAAAAAAATTTAAGGTTGGACCACCCTTAACATTTAGGAGGATGAAAAATAGATGTTGTCCGATTCTCACACCTACTGAATATGCTTAAAAAAATTCACGAAAATCGGTCGAGCCGTTTCGGAGTAGCTCAATTACGCTCACCGTGACACGAGAATTTTATATATTAGATATCGCCTTTTTGTGTAAAAAGCAGCCACCATAACCTATAAAACGCTTGCGATACCAAGGTGTCACTTGCACTGTTGCTTACTTCGACCCCGAACCCATACCCCTCTTTCCCAGTGGGCACTTTGGGCAAGTGCCCATGGCCCCGCGATCGATAGGGGGCCACTTCAGATCAAATACAAAGTCCCTAGCTCCTGATAGATCACCAAACGGGGGTCATCGGGGCCCTATTATCCTAATATGCCCAGGGCCTCCAATAGGTTAAAGAGGTCACTGCCCTTACCCTACCTGGAGCCCTGGAACCTTACTTGCTGACAGAAACTCAACAGTACTAAAAGATAGTGTTATTAGTCCACTGTGATCATTTGTAAGGTTGAGGTTAGGCGCTCCAACTCAAGCGGCAATCTACAAGCTTTAAGTATTTATCTCTTTAAACCATGAGCATAAAGCATGATCAAATCAGAAAACTTTGGTTAATATTAAGGAAGGTCAGCATGTACTTTCTTGAAACAAATAATGTAAGTTTGGTGAACTAAAGTATAAAATTCTACCAAAAAAAATTCATGTAAAATGTTTTCAAGACGATACCATATGACTCGCACTGTCAAAAAGTTATCAGATCTCATGTAGAGTCTTGACTCTACACGGTACACATTGGCAATTCTAACCGTATTCCTCCCTGCATGAAGCTTAAGTTTGAATAATAATAGTAACTTCTCTGTCCTTACTAAATACATTAATATAATATCATAAGGTACCACATTGTGTTCAGTGTTACAAAATATCTAGCTAGCGTAGATGCCTATATTTCAATTCATTCATTTAATTCCAAAGACAATTAAGTATATCTTACATAGGGATGCAAAGTCTTTTGAAATATTGATATTTATATCGAAGTCAGGAACATATCGATATCCGATATATCGACCATTTTAACTCGATATTATCGATATAAAATGGTCGATCGATATTTTTTTTCTTTTTTTTGCTTTGTATTAAGTTTGCAAAGCAAAAACCTAAAATTAAGGAAGCAAAGGTTTCCGAAATATCGATATTTATAATGTGGGCAGGAAAATATCGATATCCGATCCGATATATCAGCCATTCCAACATTTCCAACACGATATTTTTTATAGCGCTGTAAGAAGTATCAAATCAAAAGCAATTTCGAATCAAAGATATTTATTTTGTTTAAAATATTTGCACGCAGCCAAAATCAGAATAGATAATCATATGAAAAACAATTGTTATGAATTAGTAAAACCCACACATCAGGCTTCAGAATAGGGTAAGCCCAAAGATTCCAAAATTACTATATACCTATCTTACTTTCTTGACTTGGCGAGCTTAAAAAATTTACGATTTGTATAAGATTCTTATTTTTATTTTGTGTTATATTACAATGATATTAAATTTCAATTAATCAGTAGTTGACAATTATCTAGAAAGAGAGGCAAGGATTTTATTTAAGTGCATGAGTTACCATTAGGTATACGATTATACCTATATTCGTTGGTGTCGATTCTGGCATGATTATCTAAATTTAAAACTAAATTTAACATCAGTCTATCCTTTTCATTCTGTATAGAGAATGACAAGGATACACTGTTGTCAAATTTAATTTTAGGTTTAGAGAATCATGCCAGAATCCACACCGGTTTAGTATATTTCTTGGGGGTTCAAGATTTTTTTAATACATCTATAAGCAATAGTTATTTCGATATTATTCAATTTAGATAGTCATAGCAGGTAAATTAATTGATATTATTGTGTTCAAATTTAGTCTACGAAATATCGATATTTTGGAATTTCCGATATCGATATTATCGATATCAGTGAATTTTAAATATCGATATAAATATCGATATTTTGGTCTCGATATTATCGATATTCCGATTTACCGTTGCAACCCTAATCTTACAGTAAAACTTGAAATGCAAACTCATCGCAGATCATAAATAGTAAATCATAAAGCTTGTAAACATCGCAACATTTTCGTTTTAAAATAGCGACGTCCGTTTTGAACTATGTTCATCATATTTTAAATTTTTTGTTATGAACTACATTTCCCATGGTTGTGTGTGTAGATATCGTTTTTAGGGTTCCGTAGCCAAATGGCAAAAACGGAACCCTTATGGGTCCGTCTTGTATGTCAGTATGTCCGTCCGTATGCCACAGAACTTTTTTCCGAAACTATAAGTTCTATACTTTTGACACTTGGTAATTAGATGTATTCTATGAACCGCATTAAGTTTTTCACACAAAAATAAAAAAAAAAACAATTTATTTTGGGGGTTCCTCATACTTAGAACTGAAACTCAAAAAAATTTTTTCGTCAAAACCATACGTGTGGGTTAACATGGATAGGTCTTCAAAAATGATATTGAGGTTTTTGTGTTTTTAGAGTTTGAGCGAGAGACACTACCAAAGTGGCAAAATGTGCCCCCCCTGTAACTTCTGAAATAAGAGAATAGCAAAACTAAAAAAAAAATTGATGTACATAACCATGCAAACTTCCACCGAAAATTGATTTGAACGAGATCTAGTAAGTAGTTTTTTTAATAAGTCATAAATCGTATATATACTTATCAATATTTTAATTAAAAAAATACAATATTATTAAAACATCGATCAAAGTTACAACGAACTACAAGAACTTTTATATTATGTTACTTGCTGCTACGGAACCTGTTCAATAATAATCAATAGATTATGTTCATAGCATTTATTCAATAAACAAAGATGGCATAAAAACAACGCGGTAACCAATGTAGCAACTACTTCATCGTGTTCTCTATTATATTTGAAAAAAGATTAGTATACAACAGAACCCTTCATGGACGAGTCAGACTCGCACTTGGCCTCTTTTTATACTATCATTTTGGCACTTGTCACGGCAATCACAAATACCACTCGACTCCTATTACAGACACAACATTATTATCTGTTGCCGAGTTGTCACGCCTTCAATACATTTTCATTCTTATTACGCTGTGATAAAACTCTCGAATCAACATACTCATTGTAATTTCTACCTTGGTTTAATAATGAAACGTGAAAACACTGTGGCCATTGCATTGAAAATATTTTTGAAAGTGCATTAGATAGATGACCTTCAGGTTTCAGGCACGGGTTACATGTCGTCAGCACCATTAAATTAATCAATTAAAGTTTTCGTATTTTTATCTGCCAAAAAATTCATGAAGCATAATATTTGATGAAAAAATGATTTATCAATGGCGATCTAAAATATTGATGTTATGTAATTAGCCACTTTGTTAAATGGATTTTATTAAAGACATGTGGACATCTATACTGTTACCGTGTTGAATAATTTATGATTTCTTTTATTAAAATAAAATTATGTACTTATATCAAGAGTAAAAAAACCATTCATCTTCTAATATATAAAATTCTCGTGTCACGGTGTGCGTAATTGAACAACTCCGAAACGGCTTGACCGATTTTCGTGAAATTTTATATGCATATTCAGTAGGTCTGAGAATCGGACAACATCTATTTTTCACCGCCCACCGGGCGGACAAACCCTTAAATTTCTTTTTGGACAAT